GGACTATTTCTCAGTTGCTTGTGTAATTAATCAAGTCCACCTTCTATACCTATTTGAATAAATGTAAAATAGTACAAATAAAGAGCAGTGCTCTAAAGTGACACTTTAGTTCACATTTAATAATAAAATTGGCTAAATAATTGATATCGGTTCACACTAAGAGAAAGGTGAAGTAATATACCTAAAAGTGTTAACAAATTTGCTAAAAGGCCTGAGTAGATAACACTTCAAGGCGTTAGTTTTTATCCTGTTAGAATGGCAAATGCCTTTAACACTTAGTCAACAAGGGCTGCCCAAGTAAAGGGCTGCTTTTTATATTGGATCATTTCTTTAACTCTTTGAAGCAAAAATAGTATCATGCATAATTTATATTACAGTTTAATTTTCTGTTCATAACTTGCATGTGATTCTTTTTCCATTACAAGTTGTACTGAAAAAAAAAGTAAAAACGTATTTGAATAGTGCTAACTTAATTTTATCAATTATTATTGAACTTGGGATTCTGCCATTCTAAACAAAAACAAACCCAGAGTTTGGTTGGGTTTTATGAGATGGCTGGCCATCAGGCAGCTCATTTCACTGGCTGACAGCATGTATAGTTGATTCAGAATAAACGTCCATTTTCAGTAAGTAGCATATAACAGTATTGTCTAAGAGCAGTTTTTTAATTTTAATAATTACTGTATCCAGCTTATACAGGCATGCTTGGGAAAAAGAGTGTTCAATATTCCTTGCAGTTTCCAAATCTGATTTTTCTCCAGTTCCCTGAGAAATAATCCAATAAACCTGCATTTGCTGTTTTGCATTGAGATGGACAGTCTTCCAAAACTGTGCTAGTGGGGTCTGTCCTTTGAATACCATAATGTAACCAAAAATACCAGCGGATCTTTTGCACTGTAGATACAAATGCTTTCTTGTTTGGGTTCCTGACACCAGTTAATTTAATTTGGTACTCTGCTTCATAAGGATGGTGCTTCTTTGTTAAAGTTGGCAGGCAGTGAAGTTTATGAACAGTGGTAGTAGCACATGCTGTGGAGGGTCAGTGTAAAATACTTGCCTCCATGTAGAGATTAACTAATAAAGTCTTTCTTCCTCTTTTCTTGATGAAAGAAATGCATAAACTTCTGTGAAAGACTAGCAGAAACAGACCAAAGAAGTCTCAAAGCATATAACTCATAGCTAACTCCCACATACTGTGTAACTAACATGCAGAAGCTTGGGCTGTCACTCCAGGGCTATGTTAGATTATCAGCCATTTGTGGAAAGGAAGGTGATCCGAGATGGCAGTAAATTGGTTCCAGTTTCCAAATATCTGTTTTTTCAAATGGTATCATCTAAAGTAAAGTAAACTACCTGGAAGACCCAAGATCTATTCTGTTGGTTTTAGTTATTGAACCTCTAAAGGTTTTATGTTAAGAATTTGATGAACTTTGCCTTTATCATTTTCTGTAGAAGTACAAATGTGTAATTATAGTATTTTATGTGGCAGTTTATCTTTGGTAGAAAAATAATGCGAAACTTGACGTATGGATCATTTCAGTATTCCTTTGAGCAGTTCATTCTAATCTGTATTCAAAACAAAGGAAGGAATATTAACATGAAAATTAATACACATAATTGGTGTGGTGCAATGATGAGTTTCCTTTTCCCATAATTTAGCTAGTAATTAAAATCTATAAGGAGAACAGAGCAGACGGAAAGGAGATAGTGAGGTCACACAAAAGAAACATCAGTGACCAAGGACATACTGAGTATGTGCTGTATTTTTATGAGATGACTGAGACTTAATAAACCTGCACTGTATACCACCATTAGCTAATTTTTATGAGTTCAGGTAAAGTGGTTGAACTGCATGATAAGAGTGAAAGCTGATCTTTAATATTTTTACTGTCTCATGGCACATGCTTAAAGTGGAGCAGTGAAGTTTGCAATTGATACCTCCTAACGTGGTTGTTTATATATATATATATTTAAACACATTTAGTGTGCAAAATCATTCTCAGTGAATACTATGGCTTAAAAAAACCCAAAACAAGCTAGCAGAAGCTAAGCAAGTTGATTTACACCAATGAAGCATTCTTTTATGAATTAGCAACATTTCCTATGCTGAAAATAGTTGACTATCAGTGCTGGCAACTGGCAAGAGGACTTCTAACATAAATTTTGAATACAGAAATTGATGAAGTCCCTCTTCTGGACCATCACCAAGATAAATGAGCCTTTGGAAGCTCCAAGGAATATAGAAATCATAAGGAAATATTAGGAATTAATACAGTAGGGTTATACCCTGCTTTAGTTCCTACCTTCACTTAAACTAAAGGTGATTTATTTGCCATGTTACAGAAACAAAATGTATTAATGTTTGTCTTTGTTTCCTCCCCATAAGTGGTGAATCTCCTGACTGATTTTAAAATCAGAAAAGTTATGAAGAATAAGCTCTTACAGGTTGTGACACGGGCATCTGTACAGGGGACAGAGACGTGATTAATGCCTCAGCTGCAAGACGGGTGTCAGTGTGATCTTAACACACACTAGAGATTCCATCAAGGAGAACCTATTTGAGAACCATAGTCTGTAGAGTAAACTTCAGTTTAAGCTCCTGATTTTTGAGAAGCTGGTCTCAATCAAACAGCAACATTTGCCTTCCAGAAATCATAAAATTACTTATGCTAGTTTGTGGGATTTTTTCTATTATGCTGTTCTCTATTTTAAAAAATACTGAATGGTGCAATGGGATAGTTGCTTACAGTGAAATGTTAAATAAAATCTGGAACAAATGTAGAATGTGTATGGTGATCACAGCATGGGTATTATTGTTCTTCCTAAAGCAGAAGGTTACTGAGTTTGTATTTTTACTCTCACTTCAGACCGTCTCTGGTCTAGAACTGGTAGAAAATTGGGAGAGCTTTATGTATGAAAAAAGTTGTTAACGAACTGGAAAGTTACTTTTAAAATTAAAACTCAGTTTATCTGGGCTTTATTCTTGGCAGTGATTGTGGAAACTTGAATCTTCATGCTTTCCAAATTCTAAGTGAACGTTTCAAAGTGAATCATTAGAATAGACTTAAAGCAGGAGAGAGATGGTTAAAAAAGTAATCTGACATTCTTATGGAGGAAAAAACATAGGAACAGCATCAGAAAATGATTGGGCATTTGAAGCTTTACCAGTCAAACAATTTAATTGTAGAAAGTTTGGTATAAGTGATTCAGATGCTCTGTGCATCTGGTTCTGTGAAATGTTCTGAGGAACTGCTCATAGAGTTTTTCAGCATGAGTGCTAGAGGAGCACTTCTCCACTGGAGCATCTCACTGTTGGCCTAGGGCTATACCAGGCTTTTGATGAAGGGGTGGGGTTGATGCAAAATAGACCTTTGGTGAGAATACTATAGAAGGTGAAAAGTTAAAACTGCTGGAAGATTGCTGAAAAGGCCAGAGTGACAGAGGAATTAGCAATGAGTAGTAAGAAGTGAGGAAGAGCACATATCAAGAGGTGATGATCAGCAATATCCAAGTTGGAAATAAAGGTTTGAAGCTATTATGAAGCAGTTACGGTTGCCACGGATCCATGCATGTATGTAAGTTTCAAAATACAAAGACTGGATTCAAAATATAAAAGTTGGATCTGGAATTAATAGAGAAAGTATTCATTGACGTTAGGGAGGGAAAAAAACCCCAAACTGAATTTTCTTATTGTCTGTATTCTGAAGACTAGATGTCATTTGTCTGTGTATGAAAAAATGGAAGTATGCAGAAAAGACAATTACTGTACAAATGCAATATTTTGATTACTTAAGTACCTGGTTTTATCTTCAGGAGGTAATGGCATGCGTTGATTGCTTTCTTCTATTTGTTGTCATGTGGATACACATTGTACTGAATTTCCTCTTACAGGGAAATATCTAGAATTTATTTGAAACTTCTCCTTTTTTCCCCCAATTTTGCTTATAACTCTGGAATCAAAGTTCTAAATCTGTAAAATGTTTGTGTAAAAGCACCAGTTTTCCTCTTTTAGCTTAATCTGGAGTATCTTTTTTATTTACCATACTCCCTAGTGTTGTTTTGTTGCCTTTCTAAGTTTACATCACTTCATGCAGAAGTAACCAGTGTCTTTTCAGCAGAAATTTGTTGTACACAATTTCATAATAAATTAGTGAACGTGCTCTTAATTGACTGTAATGAGGTATGCTGTTATGGAATTCTGTATATAAGAGCAGCAGCATCATTTCTTTTGCTCCTTGAGAAAGGGACATTTAAACTGCTACCTCCTGTGTTTTTCATTTTCAGCAGTACACAGAACCTGTTTCAACCAATCATTCACACCTGGGACAGTTGTGCTAATTTTTGAATAACTACTCATAAGGCAAAGAGCAAAGTATTTTGTTCACAGCTTTTCCACCTAGGGATCAGAGGTCCATTTTTTCTCTCACTGTACCGGTGTATCTGCAAAGTACTCCCATAGCCTTTATCTGCAAGTCCTCTTTAGCTGAAAGCTGATGAAGCAAAGGGAAATTGCTGTTTGTGTTGCTGCCAGTTAATCATGCTAGCCCAGCAACATTTACATTCACACCACTGTAAGAAACACATAGTTAATTGGAGAAGTGGCCATATTTTACAGCTGACGAAGGTTTGCATTGCAGCAAGGCTGACTAATGGAAACTTATCTGACTCAGCCTGAATGGCTTGTAACAGGTTTGTACCCAGTGCAATACTTGCCAGTTTTATATTTGACTGATTGTGATAAGATTGCTCTTTAGACTGTGTACTTTTGGGTGAGGGAGGTGACCTTTTACAAAATATGTTAGTGAAGAAAGGTGCTGTAAAGAAGTGTTTGGGGTTTGGGTGTACTTTTTTTTTTTGTTTGTAACAACTATATCTAACCCACAAAGTCACAATTATACATGCATTTTTCTGTAAGTTTTGTAATATGGAAAACAAAAGAAAATGTTTCGAAATTGCAGAATAACAATGGTGGAGAAAATAATTATTTATTCTTTTCATAGGGACCACCAACAGATGCTCCTGCAGTTGATACAGCAGAACAGGTTTATATCTCTTCCCTTGCACTGCTGAAAGTAAGTGTTCTGTGCATACTGTGCATACTGTGTCTGAGTATAGTGCTGGAGATAGAGCACCTGGCAGCTGTCCAAAGTTTATGGACGTGTGTTCCCTAGGTGCTGGTCAGACTAATTTTAAAAATAAATTAATGCTGATTGGAACACTCAGAAACTTACTTCAATTAGTTCTGCTTTATTGGCTTTGCTTTTACTATTTTATAGTTCATTACAGTTTCCAAGTGTGCTACAAGTTGCAAATTAACTATAGATCAACAAAGGCTGAAAGAACTACCTCAAATCAAACTTGAGTCTCCTGTTAAACATATGGTGTCATTTGGTCTTGATTCCAGATGTTGAAGCATGGTCGTGCTGGTGTCCCTATGGAAGTCATGGGTCTGATGCTTGGAGAATTTGTTGATGATTATACTGTGAGAGTGATTGATGTTTTTGCAATGCCACAGTCTGGAACGGTGAGTTCTTTGCATCTATACCTTGATAGTTTTGTTTGTTTGTTTGTTTTTTTCCTTATGGTAAATTTATTTTTGGAAAGCTTCTTGTGCTTTACCTCTGATGCAATCTGAAGGTATAATCTGTGAGTTATAGTTCAAACAAGTCAAATGGATTTAAGGGTTTCAGTAAACGAAAAAAAATTAGTAGAAACTTTTTTTTGGCAAAGTCTAGTACTTAAGTGGGTATATCAATATATGCAGATGTTATGTTCTTATGTAGTATAAATATATTGGTAGTACATGACTTATAAGATTTATAAATTGATAACTTTCAGAACTCATATACTGTGAGCCAGGGGAAGGATTCAAAATTTAAAATGTTTGATTAGAAGCATATCATGTGCTTAACTGTGATGGTGCTATAGATACACTTCAAACTAGATATGCTTCAAACTTGCTCTCTTTGACAGATCTTAGTGGCATGTCTCTTAAATGATATTTTTGTGATGTGAAAAAATTATGTATTTTAATTTTGAGTAAGAATATCCGTTTTATAAAGAGATTAAAGAGTTGAGTCAAGGGGCATAACTGGGGTTTATGATGCTTTATTTTGTGTAACTAGAATGAAATGTTCTTAAAAGAAGCAATGGCATCCCTTTGTAACTCAGAGCTGCACATCAATTAAATTTTCAAATTCTTTTGTCCTGAATTAATTCTATACCTGTGCATAATATAAAAATCTGCATAAAGCCAATATGTAATATTAATCTTGAATAAAACCTGTAGAGCTAAACTTGTGAGAAACAACAGACCACTGTTTGCAGAGCAAACAGAGGGGGAAAAGATAAATTCCTGTGCCTATTTAATCATGTTTACTCATTGTAGAGATTACTTACATAGCAATTCAAAATCTTCTTTCAGTATTTTAAGAATCACATTGAAATACATTTCTAAAAATTGTATTTTGCATTTAAGGGAGTTCTGTCATGTAGTACTGGAATATTCAGGTTGCCTTTTTAAAAAGATACTTATAAATATTTTTTTGTGTGGAAAGTAACAAGTCAAAAGATAATATTGCTTTATGTACAACTACTATGATTTTTGTCTGTCTTTTGAATCAGGGTGTCAGTGTGGAAGCAGTGGATCCTGTATTTCAAGCAAAAATGTTGGATATGCTGAAACAGACAGGAAGGTAAGTCAGTATAAAGAGGGCTGTTGGTAACAAATACTCCCTGCATGGTTTTTAGAAGAAACAGCTGGCTTTCTGCAAAACTAGGGGCTATTAATAATGTTTAAAAATAAATAATTGGCCCAGAAATTAGGTGAGTAGCATGTAATTCTTTTCTTGCATTTCAATTGTCAGGAGACTGTCACTCCTGTTAAATCTACAGCTTTGATTATTGCACAGAAAGATTAGAATGCTGCTCAGTTTAGTTTAGGTGATTACTACACAGTACCTGCTTAAAAAATTGATTTTTTTATTTAACCCTTTAAGTAATATTTTAAAAAATTAGGAAGATGTAGCTTTTTCATGAGCAATTTTAGTGAAAAGAAAGGGAAAATAATTTTGTAAAAGATCCTAGTATTTAAACAAATTTTTATTTTACTCCTACCTCTCAACAGTTGTCGTCTGCTTGGTCAAATTCTTTTACTGTGGGAAAAACTTCAAAATTAATGTTAGCAAAAGGCTCAGCAGCTGAACAGAACAGTGCAAATTGCTTTTTGACTGAGTTCCTAGTTCTACTGCTGGTTTAATTGATATTTAATCCTTTCCCACCGTTGGTTCCCGTTGTCCATGTCTGAAATGGACTTTCTGCCATGAAAATTCAACCTTCGATGCCAAGGAGTTAAAGAGTAGATATTTACTCAAGTGCTGAAAGGGTAAAAACTGGTTCAGGGAAGGTGTGGTAACAGGGTGAAAAACTGAAAGCATGATCTACCACTGCTAATTTGTATCCCTTAATGATAACCCTCTTTTGTCTCATTTATTCATGTCCATGTTTTCACCATACTATGGTGAGTAATTTAAATATTACCAATGGTGTTTTGTTCACAGCTCATTGTAATTTATGCCCTGATATATTCCTATTTCTTCTTGTGATACATGTTTATATTTTTAAGAATCTCAATGTCCTCTTTGTTTCAGACCTGAGATGGTAGTTGGTTGGTATCATAGTCATCCTGGCTTTGGCTGTTGGTTGTCTGGTGTAGATATCAATACCCAGCAGAGCTTTGAGGCCTTATCAGAAAGAGCTGTTGCTGTGGTGGTGGATCCCATTCAGAGTGTAAAAGGAAAGGTATAGTAGGCTTGCTTTTTATTTTTAAGGCACTTCAGTAAGATTTAATATAGAAGCACTGTAAATATGTGTAAGTTCTTGATTTTTGGAGGCCTATACTGTATTAAAAAAATAAAAATTTAAAAAACCCCACCTCATTGTAAATGAAAATATCATTTCTAATTTATTCCTCATCTTACATCAGTAGTCCTTAAACAGGAAGTCTTTGATATTGTTAGTACACATAACCAATCATAATCCTCTCTTAATATTTTGCTATTCAGGTGTCACTCAACAGGTTTGCCACTAATAATCCAAGTATACATTGTTTTATATGTTACATTTTAGCTACAAAATCTAAGATCAGTTACTAACAGATTGGAAAAGGTTCAGCCCCTTAACATGAGTACTAGGAAGGCATTGATTTACAGGCGTTGCATATGATGGTTTTTAGTATAATTTCTATTCCAAATGTTTTGGGCAATAAAACTTCACAGAGTAGTTGATATCAAGCATTTGAGTGTGCAGATAAATTATTAAGTATGTTAAATTATTATGAAAAGAGATTAACTTGCAAAGCATATTGGGTTATAGTTGTCCTTTGTTGAAATCTCTTTTGTTCTTGTTTAGTTCTCTTTTTATTTCTTTCTAGCCCCATATGCCATTTTCCTATTTCCTGCCTCATGACAGCAGGGAGCAGCTCTATTATCACCTTCACAGAGCTGTCTGCAAATGTGAGAGGCAATTCGATTTTGCTCAACCACAGGGAGAGTGGATTAGAAAAACTACAGAACGTACAGAAATTGGCTAGGTGGTTTACTGCTTTAAAATACTGCTGAGGTGTTTTGTTTGAGCATGCACTCCCATTGTATTGTAGAATAATTATTGAAATGCATCATGATATATAGGGATGATTTTCATGTAAATTTATAAATATTTTAAAAGTGTTCATCTTCTATAAAGCCATAGTATCATATTTCGTGTGAGGCAGATCCTATTAAAGCTACTAAACACTATGGGTTCCCTTAATTTCATAATAGAATGTTCTGAAGCTACAGTTGCATTTTCAGTTGGGGTTTTTTTAATTCTGATTTTTATAGCAAATATGTTTATGTAACAGGCAGTTGAAAAGTTAATAGCTTCTTTTCGTTTGGAAGCTATTAGACATCTGAATCAATTTTGTTCCTTTTTAAATTGCATAAAGAGTAGAAGAAAATACAGGTACTCTGGGGAAAAAAAAAGATGCAGTAGAATGTTTAATTATTCCTGACTTATTTTTCCTACAACTTTTTCCCTTTGCTTTTTCTTATTTTCCCACTCCAATAGAAATATTGAAATAAGATTCCTTTTATTTTGTCAAAATATAATAGTCAGGACTAGTACTAGTGATTAATTTAGACCTCATTACCTATTAAATCCATTAAGAAGAAAAGCCTCCCAGTAAGTCACATACTTGCTCACTAAGTGCTTCTTTTTTAAATAATTTTGTTGCCACTGTCGCTTGACTTAGATGTCTATTTTTGAGATCTTTGATCACTTCAAGAAAGTAATCTTTAACATATTTATTTTGAATGTGAATAAATTTTTGTCCATCTAAACTTTTCTCAGTTACAGCTGCTGTTAGGGCATTGCTGCCAGTACTTGAGATTACTGGAAGTCTTGTAATGTTTGTTTTTCATGCACGTTTTTTAGTTGCTACAGTCAGATTAAATTACATTCTCAGGTTTTGCATTACAAAAAATTAACATCTGTCATATTCCTGGCAAGTGCATCCTTTAAAGCTTAGAAATAAAAAGAATAACCCAAATTATGATTACCTTTTTTAAATAACTTCTTGATTTGGAAGACTGTGGAATATGTATGACTTTTATGATCCTGGTTGGCAAGATCACTTACATTAAACTATTTTCAGATTTTAGATGAACCGAGAGAAGAACAGCTACATTAAAGTTAAAGGGGTTTTCTTAGGCCAGGTTTGAGTGTTTCGTGTGCATGTCTAGGTTATTATGGCATCCAGTGCCTCTTCGTATGTTAGACAGCTCAAGCTAAGCCTATGCCAGGGAATTATCTATGTTTGTTAGTACCAGCAAAAGAAGAACCACTTGCAGAGGTAATTTTGCTGGTATAGTAGCCACCATACTGGTGGCTTTAGCTGCATGAGTCCAGGTTCATTATACCTTATACTAGCATGTCTATCTGGCAAAAAATTAGAGTGAACGTGCAGCATAGAGAATTTTAATATGGTTTTTTTGACTGAGATTAGATCTATTTGAAAGCAAAGTCCAAAATAACACATTAGCTACTTTTAGACCTGCCTCGGGGCAGGTCCATGCCCATGTAAATTGGTGTGGCTTATGGTCACTGAAGCTGTCATGGTTGCACTAGTGAAGAATAACTGGGTTATTGTCATGTGTCAGGAAGTTGCAGTGAATTCGGATGAGGAACCTCAGGTTCACCTTGACTAGCTAAAACATTAAAAAGCAGTTTGCCCTGTTACTGGTAAAAAATGAAATGTTGTTCTTTGTTAACTGCCTCATCTGCATACATGTGTTCCAGATACCTCGTAGGACAGGGATGTATGATTGCAGTTTTAAGATAAGAATACCTGTAATTCTCATCAGTTAAAAAAAAATAAAAGTCATTTTATGTCTTAAAACCAATGAGCAAAAATAAAAAGTCACAAAAAATCCTTGTATAAAAATAAAATCTCTTATAGAGATCTGTAGATTAAATGCGAACTGCTTTAATGACCAGTTTAGGACTGGGATATTTCTACATTAATATAGTGGGACATGTGAAGGACAAGTAATTTTAAATACTGATCTTACTATTCTACATACTCTTGCACACAAAGTACGTTTTTTCATGACTGTGTGCCATATATTGCAATATTTAGGCTAATAATGTTCTAGTTGTCTGTAAAATAAATTCACAACAGATCAGTGGTTTTAACTGAAGGTCAATGTTATCAGAACCCAGAGAGAAAAAGCTTTATTTTGACTTTTTTTTAAAAATTGATTTCTATGAATGAAATCAAAGTAAACATGCTGGAATATGGCCAGTGGGGCAGCCTGGCTAGTTGTTGCTTCATCTTATACTTACTAGTAAACCTTTCTTTTATCCCCTCCAGTTTTCTAGTCTGTGCAATGGAAGTTGTAATACATATTTAGAGTATTCCACAGAAGTAATAATTTCATTAAAGATCTGGAATAATGCTAAATATTGACATTTCATATTTATTTCCAACATACATTTTGAAATGTCTGTATGGAAAACCATATACCTTTGCCAAATGTTAAAAATAAATGTGTTTTTTGGACCTTAACATAGCAGCTGTTCTTCACCTCTTAAGGAAAATATAACTAAAGTAAACCAAAAGCATTAACTTACCGTGTTGCATTTGTCCTATTAAATTTTTTAAAAAACATTTTCTGTTTTGAACTGTTTTAAACTTTGGATCTTTATTATAAGAAAGTCACCATTTAAAATGGTTTTTTGAGGCAGTTCATTGGTTTCCCTTGATTAATAATTGCTGGCATAAGGATCAGTCAAATATCCAAAATTGTCAGAAGTCCATTTTGTATATCTGAGAAGCTTGTTGGCACTTGTGGTGTTTAGTAGGATATGTAGCAAAATCTCTTATTCATACAGCAAACTTTCATTACTGTTAAAGCATAATTTTTCCTAACAAGACACTATCAGAAATATTTGTAGGAAGGTCTGTTGGTTTATGGCAAAATTCTTTTTTTTAATTGTTTGCTGAGGAAAATATTTATCTTTGCAATAACTTTTTTGTAAATTCTACTTCAGTCACCTTCTGACAGATAAAACCGAATATTCTATGCATCTTAATCTAGTGCTTAAACCAGATGCTGCCACTTTGATGAAAGAGTTTTGCTACGGTACTTTATCCTTATCTTAATCTCGGTCCCAAAGTAAAAGGAGAAAAAACAGGTACATTTGGGTAGCCCAGTAAATCAAAATAATTCCAGTTGAGAATGATCTCTGTAGATCATCTAGTCCAACCTTGTGCTGCACACAGTGTCAACGTTCAGTTCAGACCGGCTCACTTAGGATTTTATCCACTTGAGTCTTGAGATTCAACAACCTCATAGCAATACCTGTTCCAATACTTTATTATTCTTGCAGTTGTTTTTTTCCCCTTGTGTGCATACAGTCAGCAGCTCCCCTTTTCGGTTTATTACTGCTGTCTCCTGCCACATACATCATTGAAGAACCTTGCTCTGGGGTTCTGTAATCTAAAACCATTTTGTGCATGCAGTTTCTTTTCATTGGAAGTTGAAAATTACTTTCTTTTGTTCAGTTTATGAGATCTCTAGAATTTTATCCTAAAAGGAGTAACAGATGTGCTGAACTTTGTAATCTGTTCTTTTACTAATTTTTAAAGTGTGGGAAAAAAATTACCATGCTCCTAGAAGCCCCAAAGAGTGACAGTTATACCTTGTGTTAAAAAAAAAAAAGGCATTATTTGTCCTAAAATAGCTATTATCTGAAGAGAGAGAAAGATAAATGCTGGTTTTATCCTTACAAACAAATGAAGACCTGAGGAGAACTGAATGACTTGTTTTGGCGACCTCTTCCCCTTTTTTGTCCATTGGTACTTGTAAATCTATGTGACAACCTGTGTGTAGTTAGTCATGTACATGAACATTACGGTTTTGTTAATACCTGATTTCAGTTTTTAACTCTTCAAAGTAATAGATGATCATTTTGTTGAGTGCTGATCATAAGAATAGTGATTTGCAAGTAGTTTTAATCTCTTCTGCTACTTTTACTTTCCAGTTTAGATTAAATTGTCTGTACCTTACAGTGTCTCAGATTGGTGACTTCCTTGGAGATAGGCGACTGAACTCTTTTTCTGAGACAGTTTTGTGCTGCAGATCCTCCCAGTTTATCAAGACAAATATGTATGTGAATGGTTTCATAACTTGGTAGTTACTTGCTACTTGTCTAAAACAGTAAAACCAATAGTGATTTAACAATTACTTTTCTGACTGTTG